TGACCCCATGAACCATATTGCGCCAGGCCTTCCTGTCCTTCACTGCCTCCCTGAGTTTGCTCAGTTTCATGCTCAGTGCAAATGTCTGCAACTCTCTAAACCAAATGTCTTTTCTCAGGATCATGTGACAGTTGTGTTGTGGAGGGCAGCCACATGATCCCAAGAAAAGTGCGGTTGCTTTAGCAAGTTGCTATGTCTGTGCCCCCACATGTTTCAAACCATCATTTTTCCATTTGAATCCAAGGTGCTGCACAGCCCTAATCTTTTTATAAACCTCCTTTCTGCTAAAGTATTTAAGATACTGTAATCTTACAAAAACTAGGGTAGAATTTTCAGTGATAGTGTGAGCTTTCTAAACTCGGATTTAGGCAACAAATTCAGGTATGTTCACCTCCTTGAGTTATGTATAAAAAAGGTGGGATGAAAAATCTAACAACAGCAACAACAACAACAACAACATATTAGTGCAGAATTTAAGCTTTATTGTTTATTGTTGTACATATCTAACTGAAATCAATTATCTGTAATGAAAATTTCTCATTAAAACACATTAATCAGTATAAAAGGGGATTGTGTATTTATGTACACATTTATTACCAAAGTTATAGGAAGGTTATACAGCTGGTTAAGTCTAGCTGAAAGTGATGCGATGCACCTAAAAATAAAACGAGCATTATGTAATGCCATAATTCTTAGCTTCAACTCTTGACACCTAATTAAATTAATTGTAGTGCACATGATTTGGGGGTTTTAAATGGCATTAATGAAACTACAGATTTGAAATGCTCTCCTTCAATAAAACTCCAAATGATTAATTTTTCTTAGTTAAAATAAAAATAAATGATGGCATATTGATGAAGTTCCCTTTTTTTGCACTATGTGTCAAATTGAAAAGTGCTATGCTAACCTCAAATTTTTGGATTTTTTAAAATTTCTGAAAAAAAACCCCAGCAGTGTGGAACCTTAGTTATTTTATTATGACATGACATGTACCCAGAGACTTAGTTATTTTTTATATTGTCACATGAATCTTTATTATTGTTGTTATAATGTTTTGGGGGTGGACTGTTTGAAATGTCTGCAATGAATTCTACTATGGATGTTTTCTTTTCTCATTTTTATGCAGCAACTTTGCAGTCCGCAGAATGTGAATTGCAGAGATTTGGAGGGACGTCATTCAACTCCGTTGCACTTTGCTGCAGGTTATAATCGAGTTTCAGTAGTTGAATACTTGCTTCATCACGGAGCAGATGTGCATGCAAAGGATAAAGGGTAATTGAGACCCTGCAATTTACTGTTTTCTGTATGGGTAGAATGAGCTCTTTCTTTCTCTCCTTTGGGAAATTTCCTTGGTTCACTTTACCTTGTTAAATGCATTCTTTTCTTCCCTAAGGAGAGAAATACATGATGATTTGGCATACTGGTTCCAGCAATATCTGCTCACTAAAAGCTTGGCCAAATTTAAACAGAGGATCTGGGATTAAGACATCCAATCTGACAGAGCCAGTATTTACCATCTGTGCTATGGTGCAATTTCCCCCTCATCCTGGACTATTCCCTAGATATTTTTTTTAACATTTTATATGACCCACATATATGTCTTCTTGGCCCAAATTGGTGCTCTTCTCATTAGGGTGACAACTGGCAGATACATCGACCTCCCTAATGACAATCATACTTGTGTATGTTCTGAACTGTTTCAGGCCTGTCTTACAAATTTTCATTTTCATTCTTATTTTATCTGTCTGTCCATCCATCCATCCATCCTCCAGTAGTTGTTGTATTCATAAAATTTGTCTAGGTCCATAAACAAATAAATGGAACTCATTTGCAGCCTTTTTGCTTCTATGCTTGCTTCCCAGGGCCTTATTAACCTTTTAGGTGCAGTTCAAAGTCTTCATCTATTATGTTTTTTGTAGACAACAAAGAAAAGTAGATGAAATTCAAGTCTATTAAATCTTGCTCAATAGTGTATTAATGCATGCAGTAACTGAGATTGCTGTTTCTCCATCTTGGATATCTCAGTCTCACCCTTGCAGTGATGTCATTATATTATTGCCACAGTTCTTGAAAGTTGATTTTTTTTCCCCAGTGAAGTGCAAACAGTTTACTACTTCAGTTAATAGCGTCAATAAAATAGAAAAATAAGCTAGCAATTAGTTTGAAGAATAACTGCATTTTTTACTTTTAGATCTTGATAAATGATCTTAATTTTTTTTATTTATTTATCAGTGGATTAGTACCTCTGCACAATGCTTGTTCATATGGACACTATGAAGTTGCAGAGCTATTGGTGCGACATGGGGCTTCTGTTAATGTTGCCGATTTGTGGAAGTTTACACCACTACATGAAGCAGCAGCAAAGGGAAAATATGAAATATGCAAGCTCCTTCTCAAAGTATGTACTTTAAACTGTTTTCCTAAAGACTCTTTGCTTACTTCAGGCTATGACACATGATAATATATGCAGCAATTCCATGTAGTTTTCTTCAGAATAAAACTCTTATTAGTATAATAATAAACAGTTCTATTGTTTATAAGGAAGGCATTGCACTCTAATTTTAGGTTGCAATATATCTATAAATTGAAATATCTCTGCAAATAAATAGTTTGCATGTGCACTGAATGATACAGTCAATCATCTGCATATCAGTATTAGTCTGTAATCTGCTGCAGAACTATTAGCAACAATTAGAATAAAATGCCACAAGTAAATCTTTCAGATTGGAGAGGCAGAGAAATTAATTCCTAAAATTAGCTTTCCCCCTTTTTTGCAACCTGCTTTTGTCATGTGAGTGTATGATAAAAATGCTATGGCTGAAACTTCATGGTCACTCAGATAACACCATTATAGAGACATGATGAGATTCTTACCAAAATTGTGTTAACTTCATTCTGGGTTTTAAAAAAGCTTGTTTGGGTAAACATTAACTGCTACATTACATTAAACATCAGAATACAATTCTGGCTTTTAGGTAGTCAGATGCTGATGTGCAACTTCTGAGCACACTTACTTAAAGTGAAACTGGTTCCAAGGTTGAATTGGAATAGTATTTAATTATTTGTCTCTCCCACTGGGATAGAACCATGAGAAATTCTGAAAAGAAATCTGTCTAAATTCTGTCAAAGCTCTTTGGAGAGATGCAGAGGAGGAAGCTCTGTGTTTCTTTGATTCATTGCAAGTTATCTGATTATAACATGCTATATATTATATAATATTATATGATTCACAAAAACAGAAAAGATTAAAATAGTGTTTAATCAAGCACCCAGATATTTTGAGGTGGTACTCAGCAGGGTATGAACATAATTCTTTCCTGTTTACTTCTTCATGTTGATAGTCATGAGATTACTAACCATGATAATTGTCCTTGGGAATAGGCAATTGATTAACCTTAGAAGTTTGGAACTACAACTTTCATAAGGTTTTACCAAGTTTTAATGGCTGGAATTGAAGCTATCAATTGGAGCTATCATATCTGGCCTACTCCATCTTTCTGTTTTCCCCACAGTCTGTGGAAGGGGAGATTTGAACTGTTTTATGTAATCAACCTAATGAGAGAGTGCTATCTCCTCAGATTAATACACAAATTCCTTGTGATGTGAAGGAGGTGGCTACCATTGTCCATATCTAGTTCTAGACCACAATGAAGAGAAAGATCATTTGCTCCTCTGGGGAAAAAGAAATCACAGCACCTCTAATCTTTTTCCCTGGCTTCTCCTTAGTTGACATGGTATCAGAATTTTTTTGAGAGCCATTGTAGTTGCAAGGTATTTCTCCCCCCACACACACAAAAAAAAGAGGGTAGGGAAGTTCCTTAGGAGAAGTCAGTCAAATCTTTATTATGGTCATAGACCAAAATAAGGAGGTTGGGGTACAGTCAATTAAAAAGCTTAGAAGATACATCAGAGGGAAAAAATATGAAGAGCTAGAAGATATAAAAGTTATATGTATTAAAACAGAAAGTATATATAGAAAACAAGAATCTAAATGGTAGGAGCATTAGATGGGTGTAGCACAAAAGGTTAGTATGTGGAAGACTTTATCAAATTACAGAACACTCTAATATGGTGAACATGATGCTCATTAAGTCTAGTTTATAGCACAGGTCATCATCCAACAAATTTTGAGTGCTGCTGCTTAGAACCTGGCAACATTGTATGTTGTAGTAGGGTTGGTATCTGAAAGCAGCAGGGAGGCATAGAATTGTCCTTGTGCCCTGGGTATTTATGCAGTAATGGTAAGATGAGGCTAGTACGAATGTAGTACAAGCACTGGAGAAGCACATGCTCTGTTGTTTCTGTGTGCCCAGAGTCACAGAGGCGTTGTCTCTCTGAGTAAGGAAAAGAATGCAAAAACCTATATATAGAAATCACTTTTACTAATGAGTCTATTCCAGGATAATTGATATTTTTAAATAAAAAAATTAACATTCATTCGAATTTTTTTTCCATTAAGATCTAGCAAAAGAGAGATGTCAACATGTAGCCAATAAAGATGTGTATCTATTTCTTTTGAGTTTAATGTTATCCCATAGCCTCATTTGGAGCAACATATTAAATGCAGTACACTGTGGCTAGACTTGGAGTAGGGCCAGTAACTGACAGATAGAAAATAACTGGATTGAGTAAGAAAAAGTAGATATAGTTCTTTTGCAGGAAACAATTTCAGACAAGAATCTTGCTATATTTAAGTATTATATTTAAATTAGATTTTCTTAACTCATGTATTGATGAAATATAAAGAAGTGAAAATTTAGATCTTCCAAAAAAATGAAGTTTAGGTAGTTTAATAAGAGTGTGTGTATGTATTTAAGAGTAAATATTGAGAAGAAAAGGTTAATAGTAATGAGTTTGAAAGTCTAATGTTGGAACTTGCAAAGGACATTTTATTTTAAAGAGTAATTCTCTTGGAAAATTATTGGAGAATTCACTTGGACTCATGAGCCTCAAGGTAGACAGAACAAGCCAGTTAAGCTAGCTTTGGGTTTAAGAAGTGAGTTGAAAAGAATACAGTAATTTATAGAATAACACAAAAGAAAAATACTGCTTTGTTTGAAAGATTGTTTAAATATTTTTTATGGACATATCATTTGGCAGACATTGTTCAGCATCATTGATTCTATTTACTAATATTCTTCTCTTAAAGAATTCTATCTTCAGAATAGCATTACAATTTGAGAAATGGAATGTTGTTTTTGCTAGCTTTCTGTCAACTATACTTCCTTTGTTATGAGAGTGTAAACATGTAACTTCTTTTGCATTTGCTGATGCCTACAAATATGGTAAACCCTTGATTTAACAAACCTACAACGGGCTTTGTCCGTTTCTGAGGTGTGGTATCCAGAGTAAAATTTCATCTGTTTTGTCCAAAACCAACTAAATTGAAATCCATTAAACTGAGAGTTTAGTATATATCCAATACTTTCCTCATCCATTTTTAAATGTTTTAATAATTAGAAAGGCAGTTATGCATAAAATTGCTTTTTTCTAAATGCTTTGGATATTTCTCAGACTGTCAATAATAGCATTGTCATGCACATAATCAGATTTGTTTATCTCTTTCACTAACAATTTAATTTAGCATTTCATTCTTAATTTTCCCCATAAAATGTCTCAAAAGGTTGTTTTATAATAGATTTCTCCGCCATGCCCATGCTGGGCTGTCCATTCTGGAGAGAATTATGGGTATGACACACTAGACTAGAGATCAAAACTCAAGAATATTTATGGTTATAGACTAAGAAAGATTTCTTGATTTGCCAAAAAGATTTCTGGAGGAAGCTATCTGGTTAATTATTCTTAAGACAGAATGTTGAATTTGATGGATCTGTGGCCTGATTATTAAATGTGCTCTATTATTCTCTCACACATTTATTGAAATACAACCAAAAAGATACGTTACTTTGCCTAAGTGTAACAGTCAATAATAGCTATGTTTCTCTTTTATTTGCAACTGGAACTTTTAAATATTTTCTTTAAAACCTTGAAATATATATTTCTCAACTGCTTATACGGGACCGCACAACTAAGTGTTAAACCAACATTTAATAAAAAGTTAAGTGTTATAACTGGATGCTGGAATATAAATTACCAGAACCTGATGTCATGATGTCAAGAAGTAGTTCCATGATGCTAGAGTATCAACCCAAAACAAATATTTATACACACACACACACAGCTTCATTTAATACTTTCATCCCCTGGAATCTAAAAGAAACAAGTAGATTCATGAAACATTTATTTGGGCATCCTTGGGCATTCTTATTCAAAACAGGTTTACCCTGTATCAGTCTTCCAGTATCCTTAATTTGGGATTATGAAAGTTAGATTACAATCCCCAATATGGGAACTACATTGAGAGCTAGAGTTTCCCAGAGTAGGAATGCCAGTTATGTCAACAACCAAGTGCCATCTAGCATCAGGCCTTAGAAGTACAAAGCAAGGTCTTGGTTATGTCATGAGAAAGGCTGAAAAAAAGAATGACCTGTGTAGTGATTCTGAGGCTGAAGAGTGGGTGGCTGGAGATCCCAAGCCTTCTCTTCCTTGGGGCTTTACAGCTTAGTTGTGCTGCCTGCTTTGGAGTAATGGCTAAATAATTCCTGTAACCATCACAGGTGATCAGAGCATATATTACTATAACCTTTGATGGGGATCAAAGTTTTAAAAAATGGTTTATAATCATCCCTTTGTTTTTCTTAGTCCAAAACTCCCCTCTGCAACACACACAAATATTTATGTCCTAGCTGTCCACGGAAGTGCCTGGTGGTTTGGAATAATGAGCATGCATAAATTCTGGAGTCATCATGTAACTGCATTAATTGGACTAAAGCTCTTCTGCTCTGTAAAAATTAATTCCATGCAGTGATAAGCTGAATGGATTGTGGTGCATATTTTCAAATACATATATGATTCTTCCGCAAACTTTTGTCCTTTGGAGAATGAATCAGGTCATGAAATGAAATCAGCTTAAAGTTAGATATTATTTATAGCATGGCATTCCTTTATGTCTTCTAAATTTAGAAAACATGTTCTTAAAATAGGGATCTTGTTCTGCTTATACTATTTTTAAAGCACCTTGAGAGTGCTATATAATATTAAAACATAAACAGCATGGGAACTATGTTTGGTGGCGTGGAGGATAAAGGTTTCAGCTGTAAAACAGTAGAAATGTTATTTGCAGCATGGAGCAGATCCAACCAAAAAGAACAGAGATGGCAACACCCCTTTAGACTTGGTGAAAGAGGGAGATACTGATATACAGGACCTGCTGCGAGGTGATGCTGCACTGCTGGATGCTGCTAAAAAGGGCTGCCTAGCACGAGTTCAGAAATTATGTTCTCCAGAAAACATCAATTGCCGTGATACCCAGGGACGGAACTCCACCCCATTACATCTTGCTGGTAAGTGAGTTATTGGATTAATTTATTCACAGGAAATCCTCCTTAGAATGGACATAGCAAACTTTTTAAAATATGTATTTTATTTGGTCTATGATTCCTTAATTGCTGAGTTTTCATTGATACTTTACTTTTTTTACACATAGCTGGTTATAATAATTTGGAAGTTGCTGAGTATCTTCTAGAACATGGTGCTGATGTTAATGCTCAAGACAAGGGAGGATTAATTCCACTACATAATGCAGCATCCTATGGGGTAAGCATTATTTATTAATCTCAGTAGAGTCAAAACTTACAACCTGCATTACGCTAATGAATATAAAACAAGAAGAAACTAGAGCAGCCAAAAGGGAATAGCAGCATAAAATTGATTTTATTTCAGTCTTCTATAAAATTTTGCTAAAATATGTACAAGGGGAATTATAAGACTTGTTTTGCTACAAAACACATAATTGTTTTATGGTAATGTGAATGTCATGTTACCTCTTGGTAAATAATTATCTGTTATGAAGGTGAAAACCAAGACTAGATTAAATGATGTATGAATAAGAAGTTGCATCTTCCATTTTCTGTCTAGTTGTAATTGATGCTAGCTTTTTTCAGTTTCTGCATAGAAAAATAAAAATGACAAGTGCATCTCTCATTAAGAAAGTTTAGATCGCTGAAGAACTGAAAGAGCCTCAATCTGGAGTTGTAGTATATTTTACATACTGGCTAACTAATATGTTCATTGCTCATAGATCTCTCTATAAGGAACTACCTAAATATATAAATTTTTATATTTCCAGTGCTGAATGCATCCATCTGCGTCATAGCTCTGAATGCATAACAAATCATTTAACGTGTTTGCTTTTCTCTTTTTGAACTGGGAATTCTTCCTATTATGTATTTTTTCCATTTTTCCCCAGCATGTTGATATAGCAGCTCTGCTGATTAAGTACAATACCTGTGTAAATGCCACAGATAAATGGGCATTTACACCATTGCATGAAGCAGCACAAAAAGGAAGGACGCAGCTCTGTGCTCTACTTCTAGCACATGGAGCAGATCCAACAATGAAGAATCAAGAAGGCCAGACACCTTTAGATCTGGCCACAGTAAGTTGGTTTTAAAAAATAATGACTCTTATTTCAATACTTAAATCAGCTGACTACTGTGACAGTTATTTATTTTCTTCACTGGCCACATTTATATGGTGAAACATCTCAGTACATGTATATGGATTTGACCTGAATCTCTTTCTCTAGGAACGTTGTGGAGCTGGATAGTCTGAGTGTATGGTGTGCTCTGTTATCATCCAGTAAGCAATACAGAAGTTAGAGGCCACCACTTAGTTTATTACACCGCATTGGCTCAGTATAAATTGGTTGTTCGGCAAGGCAGGATTAGAAAGTATTTTTGTTTTGTGCAAATTGAATGCCTTGATTTTTGAACTCATTGCTTCATTCAAGCAATTACTTGACTGCAATTGCTATTCAATAACTTGCTTTTTTCCTTTCATCTTGTTTTATTGCTTGAATTTTATCTTTAGCTTCCAAGATCAAATATGTGCCATTGAAATGCTTTGCTATGAGAACATAACCTAAGAATTTTATATTTTGAAAAAAGCTAAAAACTAACAGAGAATTGTTTGGGGGTAAAGACAAATTTTGTAGTATTTCAAGGTGCTCTGGAAGGTAAACGCCCTTCAAGCTTTATATTAGTAGCTCCGAAAACAGGAACTACTCCAAAGATTGATGACTTGAATATTTGCAAGTAGATGCTAGTTTAAAGAACAGACCTGCTTTTGAGTATAGAGGTGATTGTCTGGTTAAAGTATATCTTTAAACATGGTTGATTTTGCTTTTATTTTTTAAAAATATCATCTTGTTTCCAGGCTGATGATATCAGAGCCCTCCTTATTGACGCGATGCCTCCAGAAGCCTTGCCAACATGCTTTAAACCTCAAGCTACTGTTGTTAGTGCCTCTCTCATTTCACCAGCATCAACTCCATCCTGTCTGTCTGCTGCCAGCAGTATAGATAACCTTGCAGGACCTCTGGCTGAAATTGCGGTGGCAGGGGCATCTAATGCTGGAGATGGGGCAACAGGAACAGAGAGGAAAGAAGGAGAAGGTACTCTTCCTGACTATAAGAAATTGCCAAAGTTGCAGCCCTAAGTGCACACAATAGGAAATCATCTGAAGAAATAGCAAGGCTTACTTCTGAGGAAGTATGTCTGGGGTCCTGTTTAAATCCTGACTTCTAAGCTTTGTCAAATAAAAAATATCTAATACTTGAAGAAATAGATGTAACAGATGTTCCCTTTGGAATAACTATTCTTCTGGACTTTGTTAATTATCTTTTTAAATTTGGGATTTTAAATTAATGAACCTGTACACAACTGTTCTTTGGATAAACTTCATTGGTATAAGGAATATATAAAAGCATAGCCAAAATTTTAAGACTTGTAAAAAATATAAGGTGATGGATGCTTGGAAGGAGTCTGTTTTTGTTATGCTATCAACCAGCATGAGTAGGCTACTTATGAAGTTGTGTAATATTGCAGGATGATAATGATGATGATGATGATGTTGATGAAGAAGAAAGAGCAGAGAAACTGGAATATGCAAATGGTAGCTTTATCTGCCACATGTAGTCCCTCAGTAGTTTAATGCATACCAAAAGAGAAGATTTTATTAATAATGAGAATTCAAAGTATCTCCCATAAAAAACCCTTACATCTTGGTTCTGCATCTCCTATTTATTCTTTATATTTTTTCTAGTAAAGATTTGCTTTCTTGTAGAAGATGCAATAAGTAGCAGGAGGTGTTATGGATTAAAAAGATTACAATTAAAGGACTAAAGATTTAAATTGAAGCTTGGTGGATAGTTTGTGTTGAATACTTCAGTGAAGGATATTTTCTTTGTTGTAGTTGTGGGTCTTGACATGAATATCAGCCAGTTCTTGAAAAGCCTAGGTCTGGAGCATCTTCGAGATATATTTGAAACAGAACAGGTAAAAACTCTGTATGCCCCTGCCCTAGGGTTGCATTTATTTTTCTATTTCAGTTCAATAATGTGCGTGAAATGATAAGATATAATGGTTAGCAACCAAAGAATCACATAGCTAAGATTCTCTGTTGAAGAGAGCTTTGGGCGCTTGTTTCTAAAGCAACAACCTGACATACTTTATGATAAATTGCCTTCCAAATGAATCAAGTGGTAATATGGTATGAACCCTGCTTTTCTAGAAAACAAAATTTAAAAAGAGCAGTTCCTCTTAACCTGAGCAAAGCAGTTGAAGTGACACTTTCACCAGTTCATTCCTTCTTCAGCCCTATTGCCCTCTTTAAAAAAAAAATCCAGGAATCAACATCTTGTATAGCATAGATCTACTTTGTCTCTTCTCATTTCAATTAATGTGCAAATAATTTGCCTAAGTTCTACCTTAAAAACAAAAATGAATGAATCTTGGTGCTTATGTTAATTACCTAGCATTTTTCCATTTATTGCTTCAGCAAGAGAAGTTCCAATTAAAATTTTCTAAACCCACAGCAAACCTGAATAATTCTGTTCCCAATTCTGCTCTCTGTAATTATTCTCTATGCTGGGGGCATGAAACTCAAATTGGCCAGAAAGTTGGAAAGTGAGTGGAATGGTTGGTACCTGCCACCAGCTATTCTCCTCCTCTCTTTAGCTGCCCCCAGTACAACATATCTGACCCACCCAGCTGGGCCTTATTCATCCTTACTTAAAATATATTTATGCTGTCTTTCCTAGGCTCAAGGTGACTAGTGAAAAATGCTACTTTTTTCTTCTATCTGTGCTATTCAGATTACCTTGGATGTACTAGCAGACATGGGTCATGAGGAGCTGAAAGAAATTGGCATCAATGCCTACGGGCATCGTCATAAGTTAATCAAAGGTGTAGAGAGACTTCTAGGTGGACAACAGGGTAAGTCTGTTAACATACTGAAAATCAATTTGAGATTCGGCTACGAAGCTAAAGTCTCCCTAAGTTACAGAAATCTTTCAGATGTCTTCGTTTGGGGAAAGCAGTAAAGGAGAATAAAAACAAAATAAAAATATTTTATAAATAAACAAGAAGTGAGAGCTGGGTTTTTTTGTATACCCAGAATCATTTTCCATATTATACCTTTTGGCTATTCCATATCTAATACTCTCATTCATGTGATGGTTCCAAATGCTATCAGCCTCTCCCAGGTAATGTAGCTCTTGTCATTCTCCAGATTTAGGGACATTGTCCTAATCTTTCAAATCTAAGCAACTACCATTCTGTTCTTTCTCTGAGACTTGTAATCAGCTGTGATGAGAAAGTAAGTATATTTTATGAGTACTCCAGAATCTTAGCTCTTGTGTAATCTCTATGGCAGATTGCAGACCTTAGAACACAACTAATTTAACTTACTCTTAAATCCAGCAATTTTTAAATGATGGCAGTGGACAGTAGTCCATGAGTCCTGGATTTATAGTTGGTGTATATATGTGCATACAAGTTTAACATCTTTTCCTTTTTCAGGCACCAATCCTTATCTGACTTTTCACTGTGTCAGTCAAGGGACAATTCTTATAGATCTTGCTCCTGATGATAAAGAATATCAATCCGTGGAAGAGGAGGTAAAAAAAAAAATCAATTTTAGACATGCTTAGGATAGGTATTTGAATATAACACAATTGTTTGTTTACAAACATTTTTATACTGCCCAGCACCCAGTTAGTCAAGTAACTCTAGATAACTTACTGGAATTTTGTACATATGCAATCTACCTTTATTACTAGCATCCTACTTAACAATTTAGAAATATAATTTACTCTTTGTCAGAATTGTTTGAAATGATAGCTAAAATTATCTACTGAAATATGGGACACAAGCTAGCACAGTCCAGGAAAGAGCAGTCAAGATATACAAAGGATAGAAATCTAGGGTGGAAGTTTGTCACATCCTTGAGTCAGTTTCAGACTAGAAGGACATTCTCTTGTCACGTAGGAATATATTTCTGCTTACATGTATTGTTTGCATAAAATGCAACATATCTTGGTTTATGTCAGTTCCTCTGTCTTAAAAAGACTTTGCAGTGTGCTGTAGTTTAGAGTTTTATGAAAGTATTACTTTCCTTCAGTCTGAACAGTTCTTACGTGCCTCTTTCTAGTTAAAAAAAAAATGGAAATTTCAAAAGTAGCAGACAGGGAAAAGTTTAAGCATTTCTCCTTATATCCAGTCCCAAACCCACTAACCCAGTGATGGTTCAGTTTAGAAGGACTTGTGTAATTTGCCTTCTTCTGTAATTTGCCTTCTTTTGAAAGTCTTTATATGCTGATAATACATTATGTGCAGATAGAATCTTGGGAGTTGACCAGCTTCTGGAAATAAATCAGGAATGAAGTCTTGCTATCACTGAGGGAAGTCAAACTGCATGGCTGGTCTCATACAGCCCAAAGTTCAAAAGAGTCTCTTGCTTTTATGAGTCAGAATCTGGCAGCACCCAGCTAATGTCCTCTGTACTTGAAAGCTAAACAAAGTCAGCCCAGGCTGGCTGGTATCTGGATGGGAGACTTTCTAGGAATACCCGGCTATAAGCTAAACTTGGAGGTGAAGAAATGTACCAGGGGGCAAGGGCAAACCTCTTCCTTATGCTGGCCAAGAAACATACATGGATTTATAGAGAGGTGCATTGGATTGGACTTTGCAAGGCAGTTTCTTGTCAAAAAATATTAGTTGATAAAATTTATCGTTGCAACCATGGATGGTGGTGGCAAGGTGAAGTAGAAGGGAGCACATGGGAAGGATCTGCTCACAGCAGCCTGGTTATAACCACAGGAATGAAAGAGCTAAGGCAGATCCCAAGGCTGCTATTAGATCCCAAGGAGGTGTGAGCACCCTAGAGAGATTGGGCTCATGCACTGTTGCCTAGCAGCATTAATCACTCTTATCTCTCTTGACTGACTTGGTTCCATATAAACAGCAGGAAAGAAAAAGCGAGACAAACAGGATGTCCTTGTTTTTCCAGACCACCACCAAATAAAGACTGTTCTCTCTACCTCCCTTCCCCACCCACCCCCCACACCCACACACAGTCTTTTTACTGCTGTGGTTAGCTTATTGGCAGCACGCCCCTGGATTTATCCAGGGATTGATATCAAGTCAAAGAAGATTTTACATTTACTGACTTTACCATTTGATTGTTTTACAGATGCAGAGTACCATCAGGGAACACAGAGATGGTGGTAATGCTGGGGGAATCTTCAACAGGTACAATGTCATTAGGGTAAGTTTCAAGGGCCTTAAAGGCCTAGGTCAAAAATAATTACTGGAAACTCCAAAAAGTTGATCCCAGTGGGAATGAAGTAGGGGTGATGCTGTGTGTCAGTTTCCTGATTTTGAAGATCACCCAGGGCAGGGTGAAGCATTTGAAAGAGGTGCTGAAAATGGATAAAAATGAACTAGTGATTTCTGCATTTACTGATTAAAAAGGGCTGTATATGGGGAGAAGAGAACTACATTATGTAATTTTGAAAGGGGGAAATGGTATTAACTATATCTGTAACTGCTATAAAAAAGATTGGAAGTTGCTTCTTTAAGTAATTTTTCCCTTTCTCTTTTTCTTTGCCTTCTTTTGTTTTCAACACTTTTCTCTTTATCTTTCTTTTTTCTTACTTTTCTTCTATATTTTTTCATGTTCATCTTTTAAGTTTGTAAAAAATTTCTTTCATAAAAATTATATATTAAAAAAAAATACAAAGTGCATTACTGCAAGCAAAGCAGGTCTCTTTGAAGCACTAAAGTAACTTCATCCTTGGCAATGTTTGTGCAGCTGCTTCAAAGGCTGTTCCCACATGTCTGCAGGTGCACACATTGATCATCCTTCTGTGGAGCCTGCCAGCAAAGCAAAGAGACTGGGGACAGGTTTTGAAACAGCCGTGCAGGCCTTTGCAAAGGGCCAAGCAAATTTAGCTGTTGGAGGAAAGCTGCTTTGTTTATATTAATGTGCACCACAACTTGGAAGACTGCACATTTCAGCTACTTTTCATCTCCCTGGTGGCTTCAAAATATTAACTCTTCGATTATTACTTTATACAGTAAATGTAAATATGCAATAAGTAATTATTATGTTTTATATTGACTTTTTTAACTGATCAGGGATTTTAAAAAGGATATGAATATGTGAATTTCTTTACCCACTTATCTGCAAGGCTATCAGATTTCTAGTTCAGGTTCTCCCTCTTTTTTTTTTTTTAATTTATTTTACTTATTTCATGTGGCCCCATAGAGTTAGAATAGGAGTGCTTTTTGCATTTGGCTCTGTTGTCTTTCATGGAAGCAGCTACAGTAGTGTCCCATTTCCCATTTAGGAAAAATTCTGCTCCATTCTTTTGAGGTGGCAAAAGGATGTGCAGTTTCTATCAAGAGCAAATATATTTTAGTCCTAGTGAGTGGGTGAACAGCTTATTTTTATTCAAATTATATTCAGTTAATAATCTGCTAATGTAGACTTTGCAGGGAAGGTTAAGCATTATATACTAGATATGTTAAGGATAAAGATATGGTACATAAATATGGTTTTAAAAAGAGAAACAAAGTGGAGTGATGTGATATTCTACGATAAGTGTGAGTCTTAAGTAGTTAAGTCATATTCATTTCACAGTTCAGAAAAAAATTGGGCTGCTTGAGGTTGCCCGAGATGCATGAACTTCTGTTTTTAAGGTATATTTGTGAGCCTTGCTATCAGAAGGCAAAGCTGCCAAAAAGAAGGAGCAACTCTAAAGTAGCCTTTGGTTATGCCCGTCTTCATTACTAAAACTAAGTTTTTTTAAATCACAGAAATCATTTTAAAAACTTATATGGTCACATTGACACAGGAGTTTGTTATTTTGTCTTAGTTAATGTTTTTTTTTTCATTCTTCCATAGATTCAAAAGGTTGTGAATAAGAAACTGAGGGAGAGATTTTGTCATCGGCAGAAAGAAGTCTCAGAAGAAAACCATAACCATCACAATGAACGCATGTTGTTTCATGGTGCGTAAGGTGGCTCTCTATGAATGTGTAGTTGCAGTACAACAAAACTGGTTAAATGTACATAAATTGTACTTTTGTTTATTTACTATTCTGCTATGTGCTTGATTCTGGACTCAATTCCAAAGAGCAAAATTGGTCTGGCTGATTTTTCATGCCTCTTTGGTACATCCGCACCACTCCAGAGCCTATAAGGCTCTAGAGTGTCTCCCAACTCCATAAAGAATCCGAGAAAGGAGTGGATGATGAAAAGGAGGGGACACAGTAGAAAAGTCCTGATATGAAAACACTGTTCCACATGTTCCATTGTGGGTGCAGTTCTGTTATGACAAATGTTTTGTCTGGGCATTTTTTTTAACCCGATCTCATGGAATGTGATAAAGATGCAGGTCAAGAAAAGAGTGAGAGAGGCATGCCGTGTGCCATCCTGTGCCATCCTTCTCCACAGATAGAAAAAGGAATCTGCCAGTCATTCAGGCATACACTGCTTAGCAATAAAAATGAACATGTTCATAGATGTTAACCAGTGCCACAAGTACTTCCTGTCAGAAGAAAAGATTCAGATGGCACAGCTGCTGACTTTATTTTATGCAGGGAATTGAACAAAGATTCTGCTTTTCTGAAAAGCCCAACCCAAGAGCTTCTCCAATATACTTAATATTAACACATATCAGTAAGTGCTGGTTTATCTGAATCCATAAAATAACTTAAGCTTTCCTGTTGACTGGAAAAGATTAGGAGTGGGAGGTAAAACATTTTCCTTGGATATGCAGATATAATTTTCTTGAAAACCCATTGAATCATCAAAATCCTCTGTCAGATTTTCCTTGGTTTATATGATTGAACTTTGATTAATTATTTTGCAAATATGATGTTATGATGAGGCTACAATTCCTGTAATGTATAATATATGTTTACATGTGTTATTTTTTTTTATTTTAGGATCTCCTTTTATTAATGCTATTATTCATAAAGGGTTTGATGAAAGGCATGCATACATTGGAGGGATGTTTGGAGCTGGGATTTACTTTGCAGAAAATTCCTCTAAAAGTAACCAATATGTATATGGAATTGGCGGAGGCACAGGCTGTCCTACACACAAAGACAGGTCCTGCTATATCTGCCACAGGTGGGTTCTTGATAAATTGGAGTATCTGGAAAATCAGGTACAGTGTTTCCATAGCTGAAGAAATGCTAAATCAGATGAAAAATGGGAAAAAAGAGTTTTCTTAGTTTTCTAGCTTGGAGGAATGTGAATGCTGAAATATGAGTACAGAAAGTCCCCTAGATACAATCTTTCAAGTTGCGAACTTCCACCGATACAAACAAGATGGATCCAGAAGTTCGGGCCGGAAGTCGGGAGAAAGCATCCCACAATCTAACCCTTTCCCACCATCTCCTGACTTCCGGTTCCGACTTCCAGTCCTGACTTCTTGCATGGTCGGTTGTGTTTGGTGTGTAGCAACTGCAAATTGCAGACTGCAAATGTCTGCAATTAAGCACAAGAGTCCTGAAGGGGAGCGGGGTAGTGCGAAGAAGTGGCAATCCATTACGATGCTCACAAAGATGGAGATATTGAAGAAAATAGGGGGTGGGGAGAAGATGGCAAACGTGGCACATTCCTACAGCATGAATCATTCCACTATCGGAACGATCATTAAGAACAAAGACAAGATCACAGAACATGTGAAAAGCTCAGTGCCTATGCAATCCATAATAATAAGCAAGAGGAGAGGAAAAGTAATGGAAGAGATGGAGGCGCTGCTCGGCATGTGGATCGAAGACCAGCATCAGCGATGTGTGCTGCTTAGTCTAATGCTGATCCAGGAGAAGGCTAAGAACTTATTCCATGACTTACAACAGAAGGCTGGTGAAGATGCTGCTGAAGAGGTGTTTGCTGCAAGCCATGGGTGGTTCCACCGCTTTAAGGCTTGTATGAATCTTCATAATGTGAAAGTCAGTGGTGAGGCAGCAAGTGCAGACAAGGCTGCAGCTGAAGAGTTCCTGGAAATCATCAAGGAGATAATTGATGAAAATGGTTATTTGCCCCAGCAAATATTCAATGTGGATGAAACAGGGCTTTATTGGAAGAAAATGCCAGACAGCAAGACGTGCATCAGCAAGGAGGAGAAGACCATGCCAGGCTTCAAAGCTGCAAGGCATAGGCTAACTGTTAGGTGGCAATGCTTCTGGTAACCTGAGTCTAAAACCGCTCCTAGTCTACACTCTGAGAACCCACGAGCTCTCAAGAAGATCTCAAAAAACTCACTTCCTGTTGTATGGAAGGCTAACAAGAAAGTTTGGGTCACCCTTCTCATCTTTGAGGACTGATTTTTCCACCATTTTATCCTGGAAGTGGAGAGGTTCTGCCACGTGAAAAACATTGAGTACAAGATTCTGCTGATATTGGATAATGCACCTTGTCCACCTTGGACGATTTCCATCTGAACGTGAAGGTTGTGTATCTGCCTCCCAACATCACCTCCCTCCTGCAGCTGATGGACCAGGGAGTGATAGCAACCTTCAAAAAATACTATCTTCAGTGCACGTTTAGGCAGGCAGTCCAGGCAACCAAAGTGGACTCACAGATGACCTTGCTCCAGTTTTGGAAGTCCTACAACATCTACAAGGCCATCAAGGACATTGATGCAGCCTGGCATGAGGTTACTCCTGCGAACATGAACAGCGTGTGGAAACGTCTGTGCCCTCGGTTCGTTCAAGACTCTCATGGGCTTGAGGTGGCAGAAAGGGAGTCACAGGCTGTTATCAGCAACTTGGTTGCCCTCAGCAAGGAGCTTCAGCTTGACCTGGAGGAGAGGGACTTCCATGAGCTGCTAGCTGCACAGACAGAGGACCTCTCCAATGAAGACCTCATGGAGCAGTGAAAAAAAAGAGGAAGAAGAAGAGATCGAACCACCAAAGTGGTTCCAGACCAAGCTGATGGCAGAGGGGTTCAGCTTAATTGAGAAAGTGCTATCACTGTTGAAATGCAGGACCCTAACATGGAGCACTTCACCAAGATGTCTGCAGCTGTCCATGATGCAATCCAGTGCTACAGCATCATTTATGAGGAGAAGAGGAAGACCACCACCCAAAGTTCACTGGACCACTTCAGGAATGTGGAAGATGCTGTTTCAACTACAGAGGACGCCCCTCCGCCATCTCCGCAAGCGCCTATGTCAACGCTGCCGCTTATAAGATGTCTGCAGCTGTCCATGATGCAATCCAGTGCTACAGCATCATTTATGAGGAGAAGAGGAAGACCACCACCCAAAGTTCACTGGACCACTTCAGGAATGTGGAAGATGCTGTTTCAACTACAGAGGACGACCCTACGCCATCTCCGCAAGCGCCTATGTCAACGCTGCCGCTTATGTAAGGTGCGAACTGCAGTTTGTTTGGTTTTTTTTTTTGCTTGTTGGAGTTACGAACAAAACGGACTTACGAACAGCCTCTCGGAATGTAACCCGTTTGTAAGTAGGGGACTCTGCACTCCAGAAGCTCCAGGAGGTATATACAAAGTCAAACATGGTACAAAGAGCATTAGAATAAAATACCATTTTTCTTGTAAGGAGCTATCAGTGAACAGCTTCTGAGTCCATGCTGGCAGTTTCTAATGGCTAAACAAAGAGTTGAAATGACAAAATACAGCTTTGTTCTTCCAGTATGCAAACTGCAATGGCTTGAGGACCCAATTATTTACAGAATGTGTTGGTATTCTGTAAATCGCTTGCTTAGCCATTCATGCATTTGTGGAAGAATTATCTTGAGTTTTTCTGAACTAGCTCCTGAACTGTCATTAATCTAGTCACTGCAGTTAAAAAAAAAGAGACGCTATTAGGACTCCATGTTGCAAGTGGGGAAAAAAACATAGTAGCATATTTCTCATAAGAGCTGGTAACTAAGCAAAAAAGAAAACTCACCCTCTTTTCCACTTTAAATAATGTTTGAGAATGGAAAATTAAGAGTTTGACAAACTTTAGATCTCTGACATCATGTATATGAAATGTTTTGCTGCAGTTTTTAAATTATTTCAAATGATTTTCTTCCTATCTTCTTTTAGACAAATGCTTTTTTGCCGTGTGACATTGGGAAAGTCCTTCTTGCAGTTTAGTACCATGAAAATGGCCCATGCCCCTCCAGGACATCACTCTGTAATTGGCAGGCCAAGCGTCAATGGGCTCGCCTATGCCGAGTATGTCATCTATAGAGGGGAACAGGTAGGTGCATGTGAAAATGACATTGATCTTTTTCATTGGTTCACCAAAATCTTTGCACTAGGTGTACATTGTTAAGCACCACCAAAGGGAGTCAGGGCTGCTTCATGTTTTTCACAGCAAACTGTGGTTAGCCTCAGCATTACACAATATTTCTGCAGCAAATTGGATGTTTTAAAAGCATACATGATTCTTCCATGCTTTATAGTGCAAATTGTCTTGCATAAGGAGCAAGTGTCTATTTGTTTCAGTTTTCCTGCTGCCTGGAGTCCCCAAAACGTGCTTTAAAAGTCTGATTAAGTTATACTACCTTCCGCAGAGGTACTTTTCTCTGTCGCTGATAGATTTAAAATAAAATAAATACATTTCTTGAAGGCACATTCACATACTATGCATATGGTCAGCCACGCCTTCATGTTACTGAGGATACGTTATAAAAAAGCTACGCAGGAAATACACCCTATCAGAGGCCCACATGCAGCCACTGGATGCTTCTCCAGAACAGCATCATCTATGGTTTGCAAAAGGTTTCTGTTTGTTATCCAAACTTGCTATGGCCTAAAACAGTATACACCCATGGTTTGTGGCAGACTACTCTAGCAGATACTGTAATCTCCAAGAAATAATGGCTCCTGCCTTCAGAAGGACATCCTTTACTATTTTTGAAAATTACAGAGAGTGGTTTGCAAGCAGTTCTACTCATTGAAGTCTAGGAGAGTGCTTAACTGTTTATATTAAGTATGATTTGTTATACTTAATGTCATACTATGAAAAGATCTTATTCTTCCCAGCTCCTGTTCAAATGCTGCTCTTCCCTTGACTTCATGAATAAGACTGTGAGTGATGCTTCCAAAATTTTTATCACTTTCCATGCCATCTCCTTTCTCCAAAGGAGGAAAGGAGCAAGCATGGCACCAGCAAATAGGAGTGTAGTAGCACTTTGCAAAAGAATATATGTCCACATCCGATACCCATATTTTGGATATAGTCTAGTGTAATTCCTACAGTAGACTTAACAACAACAATACTTCTTCCCCAAAATAAGATAAAAAATCAGCTCCACCAATGCCTCACCCACTTTGGCCTTTGCACTCCCCAGAAGTGTTAAGTGCAGTTCCTGGTGATCGGAGCTTACCTACCTTCATCAAGGAGTAGTTTCTGACTCAGACAATACCTAGGAAGATGTTAGATGCTGACCTTGCTTTCATACATCCATTCTGCTCCATTAGAGTATGCTCTTGGCTCCCAATGAGCAAGTAATAAAGAAGATTTTATATTTGGAAGCATGGAAAAGTGCTTGTTCCACATAATGTGATAGATATTAAATGGATTGTGTTAGAAAAAGCAAAAAGATCAGACAACTGTGGTTCCTTAGACAGAAGTAATGTAAAAAATGGATAAAATGAATTTTTGCTGTGTTTTGAATTATTTCCATATAATATGCAGTAATTTGAATGTATCTGCTTATTCTTAGGCTTACCCTGAGTATCTCATTACATACCAAATTGTAAAGCCAGATACTCCTTCACAGACAGCAGTGGCTGCAGAGCAGAAGACCTAGTAGATGCTGGTTCATTGAAGTAGATTACGTGACTTAAGGACTGGATGGTTGAGATTAGTTTCAGAACATCAACATTATATGGAATTCTCATCATTCTGGAACTGCTTTATGTGTTTTATAAAGCGTTGCTCTGTAAATGAATCTGAGTAACTGATATGTACTCAATTGCTACTATTCCTTTTGAGGAAATGTTTACAAAGATTTGCCTTTTAACATCCTGTCTCAGGCTCACTTTCCCTGCAGTTGCCATGTGTCTAATGAGAACATTATTGCTTCAATCTGGGTATGCAGGAACATAATATGTAGTGCTTGCTATGCTACGACCCTTTTTAAAAAACAGCAGCAAATTCTGATGCAACAGCTGTAGTGATGTGCATAGCTTCTGTTGAACCCATGCCACCTTCTCAACATTCAAGGCTCGTTTTTCTTTCTAGAAGTCTTTCATCAGCTATTTATTTTCACTTCTTTCTTCTGTTACAAAAATGAGCCAGGCCCTCCTTGAGGATATTTTTGCACAAAGTCAAGTTGACTAAAAACACTTAACAATGCAATAGGAATTTCTTATCCAAGAAGGTATTAGAGATATAATTCTTTGGTCTGGGATTCTTTTTGCACTTTTTATGAACTCTTTTTTATGTTGCTAGAAACATAATTTTAAGGTAGAAGCCCTCCATTATCCCTGCTAAGTTCCTCTTTCTTTATGAGGAGTTCATACTAGCATTCGTATAGCAGCTTCTTTGGAAAATGGACTCTGTTCTTCTATTTTGCTTTCTCGTGTCTAATATTCCAGTAGCCCTTAGCGGCATGCTTTGAATGTCTCTGATAAAATGCATAAGGAATCGTTTATTGGATGAAACTGAATAGGCAGAGGTTCCTCTTACCTCTCCCTGCCCAAGCAAAGATGTGAGCAAGTTAGTGAAATTCCTCATGGTCAGTTGAATTTGATGTCTCCTGTTGTTTTTTGTTTTGTGTTTTAATATTTTCCCCAGATAGTGAATGACAAAGGAGGAAAGGTGTGAGCTAGGAGTCTGTTTCAGATCTCACATGTTGTGTGCAGACTCAAAAAGGACCTCTTTTTTACAGATGAGCTATTGGGGTATGAAAGTTTAAACCTTTTCCTTCAATAGGAATAACTCGTTATGTCTGGATTCACTCACATGCTGAACTCCATGCAAATATTCCCCCCACCCCCGAAGACTAGTTAGACCAATAGATCAAGGAGTTTATATTTTTCTTATTCCAGAAGACTGCTACTTAGTTCCTAATTAATTTCTGTCCATTAAATTGATCCCCCTAAATTTTCTTTGTGAAGAATCCTTTTACATATCATTGTCATCATCATCACCATCATCATCATCATCATCATCATCATCATCATCATCA